AAATCATATACAGTATTTTGATATGAATTGATTTTATAATCTTAAGATTTACTCATTTTCGATTGTAAAAAGCCATGTTAACTTTTCATTAATGAACATAATAAAAAAGATTAAACCAATATATATTAACATGATGGTGTGCAAATATTGTAAATGTATTAAAAGATATAGTTTATTGATTAAAGAACGATAACTGTAATATATGAAACACGTGGAAGTGCATATACATACGTGTATATTGAATTATCTTTCTTTGGGGATTGCCGCTTGTATATACGTGTTTTTACAATTTTACAAAATGAAAATAAAATAAATTTATAACCTCGAGTTTTATTCATCGTTTGTTTTAACAATAATTAAAAACTTCAGTTGATTATATTTCTTAAAAAATTAAATTTAAATTACTTTCAAGATTTTCAGGAAAAATACAAATGAATTGTCCTGCATGGAAATATTTATACCTTATATGATTCAAAAGTTACAATATTATATAAAGTAATATTATTTATGTAAAAGTTAAGATCATACTCTTAGGGATCATTTCTATAGTATGTATCGCCGGGACACCAGGTAAAACTGTGTGAACCAGAAACCACGACGATGAGTCAGAGTGGCCCCTTCTGAGCGCGAAGCGGGCGAGGGCTGCTGGGCTTCACCGCCCGGCTCGGCCCCCGTCATTGATGAACGTTCCTCTCTCCCTTAAGTGGTGAGCTGGAGGAAGGGGTCACATTCTGAGTGGTTTCAAAACTTTTTAAAGAGTAAAGAAAGATATGAAAATGTTGACAATGAACTGTAATGGGAAAGGCATCTCCACCACGCAACAACATACAACCTTTCAAGCAAGTGCATGCTTTTCATCATTATTTACAGTGGACCCTCATTTATCCAGACGCTTTGGTTTCCAGTCAATTTGTCCGGATATGTGAAGCATCCGGATATCTGAATCACCAGTTAAACAAGACAAAATAGCATTTAAAAATTTCGTTCCGATTAAAAATCGTCCGGATACTGAAGCATCCGGATATCTGGCGTCCGGATATCTGAAGGTCCACTGTATATGTTTATTAGAAAACTTTTTTTCTTTTTATCCAAATCCTATTTAAAAGGCAGCTGCAGATATGTATCTCACTGGTCTGAAAAAAAAAAACGGGATGGATGACCAGGGTTTGACAATATATTTTTGTCGGAAAGCTGCAGTTCTGCAGCTATATAAAGGTTCAATCTCCACTCGACTCTTGTCCTGAGGAATAATTCTGACTTTAGCTCATATAGATACACTCAGATTAAGTTATTTGCTAATAATGTCAGTAGCAAAAGTCCACTTACACATTCCATTGAACCTTGTCAAATATCAGAATCTTGTATCAGAGTTTAACATAGTTAATTTAAAACAACTTGAGAATCTCTTTCTTTAAACATTTTATTGTTTGTTGAAAAAATAAATAAAACGAACAATAAAAAAATATATAAACACAATATATAACTGTAAAAAAAATATGAAAGATGGTGTTAGTATGTCTAAAAATAACATAAATCAAGACTTTTAAACCTTTCTAAAAGTTTTTATGACCAATTCAAAATCATTTTCAAAACCATAAAATTCTATGCCACTTCCTCCAAGAAAAAAAGTTACCAAAATATCAATCAACTCCATGCTCAAAGGAATTGTTATTAGTTCATAATTTTCTGCATTTCTCTTATGTTTGTCTTGGTACTTGCTTTTTTTAAAAAAAAAGTTTTAAATAAAAAAACATTAAAGAATTTTAGACTAAAAAAAATTAGCTGTTTTCCCTTTATTCTATCAGAACTCTTTATTAGGTAAGTATATTTTTGGATATCCTTAAATGGCCAAAATGAACTGCGAGCTTAAAAAAATTCATGCAAGATTGGTTTGGCATAAATCTTTTATAAATGCAAAATTTCAAAGAAGATTCAAAATATGTTTTAAATATATATTTATTGATAAAAATTTAAATTAACAATCCACAAACTGTTTATCCACACAGTGAAAAAAAAAGATTTAAAAGTCCTGATCTATATGTCAGACATACTCATGTAATGATATATGATATATCACAGATCAGCATGTCAAAATACGACATCTCCTATCAACTGAACACAGTGGTATTGCTTAATTATCATATCCTCATTAATAATCATAATTAAAAGATTTTTCATAATGTTTCTCTCATTTTCTTTGATCTAAATATATGCCTCATAAATTCATAATGCAACAATGAAGTAAATTTTTGACAGATTGATTTCGTCTGTTATCATTGAGGAATATAATCTTGTCACAATAAGTTGAAATTGTCTGAGAAATTGAATATCATCTGGTTTCCATGGTGAAGCTGTTACGTTTCCTCCCCTCCACTTGCATCAGCGAGTTCTGAAATTGTTCCAACATTTGGATTAGCACCTTTTTCTTGAAGCGACTGGCTTCACGAATGACATCACTGATAAACGCGCACTTAAGTTCCACATTTCCCTGGACTGAATTTAATTGGTGAAACAAGTTGTCGTAATCTGCAAGAGAAAAGATCAAATGTGAAACATTAAACATAAATTTTACCTTTATGAACAAAACAAAATAAAAGTCAAACTGAATACCATGTAATTTGAAATGTTAGTGAAATGCAAATTTAGAGGTTTGTCTCGGAAAATCTTTTTAAGGAATTAAACGTATTAGCAATATTCAAATTTACCAATCTCAAAACTCCTACTAAAATTGCCAAAATTAAATCCTTGCTAAAATTTTCTGCTTATACCGTAAATCAAGGACATAAAGAAACGTAAAATAGAAGAATTCCAGCACCTTTGCACTTACTTCGTCCTGGTTTCTTGAGTTCCTTGTACACAGTGTGTTTTAAGCGTGTATTGTGTGTCCATATTAGCGAGTCTTTCTTACTATTGTTCACACTCTTTTGTCGAGAATTCACCGAATTAAACATATAATCCTCAGACTCTCCGTGAGGGAGGTGATTTTCTCCAACGTGGTTTTTCTTTGAGTCACTTTGTTCCGGTTCAGCGATTATTAATGGCTGATCCTCGTCCTCTTGTTCTGGCACATTGTTCTCCTCCACTTCATAATCTGAAAACGCCATAAATAATTATCATATGAACTGAAATGTATCAAATAATTTTTCAAATTTATCCAAAGATCAATGAAAAATACACAAAACAGTTTGACAATGATGGGGTCTTTGAAACAAAATAACCTAAAAATGCTAAATATATCAAACAATTTGACACTAAGGCCCTTGAAACAAAAATAAAATTGTTTAACTGTCCTGACTTTTAGATAGGAGAGTAATGTCGTTTCTGTAATATATTACCTGTAGGTTCTGGTTTTGGACTGAAGTCTTCCTCTATCATCTGGTCCGGTATGGGAGAGGCAGGTGGGGAGGGGGTGGGGGATCTACTGAACACGTAGTCCTTGGGGAGTGGACCTAGAGGATTCAGAAACACAAAAGGAAGATGATTTTACAAGATCCAAATTTTGTTATTTCGTAATAAACAAAATCATGCATTTTTTCATTGAAAAAAAAAATTATTTTCAAATTACATGCAATAGCAAAAGAAAGATAACTCTTGAATAAGTTCAACAGATCAAGCAGAGACCATGTTTTGAGAAGATATTCCATTAGATCCATGTATAAATACTGACCGACTTTGCGTTTTTTGGGACCTGGAGAGGGACTCTCTAAGCTCCGACGCTTGGATGGTTTATCTATTGTCGGGTCATCTGCCTCGTCAACCATGTTCATCTGTAATGTCAGAAACAATGGACATATTGAAAATGTGTCCTTCTCACTATCAAAAATATTAAAGAAAGATATGAACATTCCATGGACAAGTAAAATAATTCTCTAAATTTATCAATTCAAAGTTTCAAAAGAATTTATCATAAAAAAAATTCATAGCAAATTTCATCTAGAATACTGACAAAGTTTCTTCCCATGTTTACCCTTCATTTAATCTATTCATTGCAAAAAAAAAAAAAGGCCATGTTCCACTTTTAATGCACCAAGTAAATGAATAAAGTCTGAAGCAGGCAAAGAAGGAGAAAGTCAAATGCAAATAGTGTCGACAATTTTTGTGACTGGATTTTTATTAACTTATCAAAGAGATTATATTTGTCTAAGTTCTTAATTGATAGTAATTAGTATAGTTAATAAGGAGTCAGTTTGTCTGTCCTGTGCCTCTGCTCTTTAGGACACTATATTTACATTCAGTGTAATTTTCTTTATGAAATCCATGACGTTCAAATCTCTATAACACACGCGAAACCTTGTCACCGCGCGTTAGAATACACAGCAAGAACTATAAGCATTTTCAATACTCTAGGGACACCAAAATGTAAAATGTATTATTTTAAATTTAATGAAAAATATAACCCGGAAAAAATAACGTTAAAATTATCGTAATGTGCGTTAAAAATTGATCTGTCACTTTTTTCCTCGCAATGTTTGTTTGTATTATTTAACTTTGCAACGTCATTTAACGTCATTTGACGTCACAAACGGCTCTTCCATTTATTAACCACGGCAGTTTTGAAGGGCGCTAAATTCATATTTAAGATGAACGAAATAAGCAATTATGAAGAAGGAAAATTAGAGAATGTAAATATAAGCATTGAATTCATATTTTTGGATGTCTTCGGTCCTATAACCCACCTGGCCGTGCCGACAAATTATCATCCCGCGCTAACGCGCGGTATTCAATTTGTCGGCACGGCCAGGTGTGTTATAGGACCGAAGACATCCAAAAATATTAATTCAATGCTTAAGTAAAACATGTACTTACCTTGACCTTAAACGGATTTCCGAAGGTATGAAGTCTGGCGGGAGAAGTTTCCAGCTCTCGTAGCGGGGCTGGCTGTTTCTTCAGGTAATCCTGGTAGTTCCCCATCTGTTGGACTGGTATACTGTGGGCTTGATCTGGTAATTTATCAATCAATCTTTAATCAATTTAAAACATACACTTTTATCCAGAGAATTAATATTAATTAACAGTTATGCATTCAAGGACCAACCCAGGGAGTGACTGAGGCGAAATAGTTGCTTTTGAGCTGCAAACTTCGCCATCATTTATTACAAAAGCGAAGTTTAAGTGGTTTTAACATTTGCAACCCCTTTATTGAAAACCATAAAAATTAAATTACTTTGAGGGAGAAGTGAAGTCTCCCTAAATTCTGGGTCTAGTTTGGTCCCTGGCATTACATCACTTATATCAACAGCATTTTTTTAACTCAGTGAGTTTGTCAAGCTCAGTACAAAGATGAGCTTTTTAAAAAAATTAAATTAGATTATATTTAAGATTATCTAAATTATTAAAGAGTGTATTCCATGGTTTGTGATACATACCATCATCCACAAGTTTTGTTCTATGGTAGGACTTTTGTAGAAAATTTGATCTCATTCTAGCTATTTGATCTATAAGGCTTTTTCTAGGTATATCATATGGATTTCTACAAATAGAGAAAAGACATGAAATCAAGCTAAAACAAAATGAGTCAATTTTTTTTTTTTTTTTTGATAACTTTCTCAGCTTTACATTCCTCTCACTTCTGTATCCATCCACGAGTTTACTTCACCATAAAAGTTTATTTTGTGAAAAAATATATTGATTCACTGAATCTTCTGTACGTAAATAAATAACCCATGAAATTATATCCCTACTTACATAAAATTTTGCTTGCCCACAAACTTTGATCTCCACGCTTTAAATGATTACTCAGTACATGACCTTCACTTGCTTGTAGAAGAAAACCTCTACCTACCTGTAATATTGAGGATTGACGACCTTGACCTACCTGTAGCATTGAGGTTTGACATTGACCTACCTGCAGTATTGACATTTGATGTCCCAGACCTACCTATAGTATTGAGGTTTGATGTCCCTGTCGGCCACCGCGACAGTAAACGTGTTGTAATCGTTCAGTTCCTGCTTCAGGTTCTGGAGATTCCCGCCTGCATTCTGTAACAACTGGTTAAAGTCTCGCCTCTGTAGAACAGAGGTCTTGGTTCTGAAAATCAAACAAAGATCTTAATCACATGTATGAAGTCTGAATTGTGATTTATATCTACAGTATTTATTTTTGCACAGATTTCTGAATTTTTGTCACAAAAATTTCAAATTAAATATCTGCTTGATGCATAGATTTTCAACAATATACAAACATGCTTGAACACCCCCAGTAAATTAGGCATCAGAGTAAGGGTCTATACCTGGAGTCCACTTTAATGCCCTCGTGAAGAGGAACCTTCTGTCCAACAGACGCTATCAACCGATCCATCTCAATCTTGGCCTGAAAACAAAGGCAGAATTCATCAGTTTTAATGAATAAATTTCATAAACTCTTGTTTCATTATGAAAACATTCATATCCTTTTCAATAAACATAAGTTTATCTAGTTTTAGGAGCAAACTAAGCTCACCTGGTTTTTGAGTTTCTTTAGGTAAGTGATTACACTATAACTTAGACTGTTATCCATATTGTCAGGGACTAGATTAGGGGCACCCATTCTGGCTAAGGCTCTTTTCAAGGGCTGTCAAGGAAGAAAAACATAGGTAATCAAAGATTACAGAGCTCACCTCAACGAATGTTGTCTTTAATTAAGGCAAAGTCACACAATTACCCAAGAAAAAGTGTACATCCAAAAATGCAAAATTTATGCAATTTTAATCTGATACTTTGAAATAGACCTATATAAAAACTTCAAACTAGTTCTTCATCATGAAAATGTGATTAAAATCCAGCATCTTAAGCAAGTTTGAGAGTTTTCATCCCTTGATGCATCATTTGGGCAACTTTGGTTTATATAAGCCTTATAGTTTCTTGGTAATAGACCTGCACCTATAACTTTTACCTGGTCCATTATCTGAAAAAAGTATGTCAAATTCAGCATCCGGAGCAAGTCCATTAGTATGCATCCTAAGATGTATCATCCATGCGAGTTTGCACAACATTGGGCTTATAGTTACTTAGAAATGAAACCTGCATAGAAATTTAACCTCTTCACTCATCCAGAAAAAAATGTAGGTCAGATTCAGCATCTGAAGCCAGCCTGGTAGAATGCAACCTTAGATGTATCATTCATGCAAGTTTGGTCATTAAAGAGCTCATAATTACTTGGAAATGAATCCTGTACCAAAAAATTTAACCTCTTCACTCATCCAGAAAATGTAGGTCAGATTCAGCATCTGAAGCAAGTCTGGTAGTATGCATCCTAAGATGTACCATCCATGCAAGTTTGGTCATTATAGGGCTCATTGTATCTTGGAAATGAACCCTGCACCAAAAACTTTAACCTGTTCACTCAACCGGAAAATGTAGGTCATATTCAGCATCCGAAGCAAGCCTGGTAATATGCATCCTTAGATGTATCATTCATGCAAGATTGGTCAACATAGGGCTTATAGTTACTTGGAAATGAGACTTGCACCAAAAACATTAACCTGTTCACTCAACTGGAAAATGTAGGTCAGAGTCAGCATCCGAAGCAAGTCTGGTAGTATACATCCTTAGATGTATCACCCATGCAAGTTTGGTCAACATAGGGCTTACAGTTATCGGGTACTTGGAAATGAGACCTGCACTAAAAACATTAACCTGTTCACTCAACCGGAAAATCTAGGTCAAATTCAGCATCCGAAGCAAGCCTGGTAATGTGCATCCTTAGATGTACCATCCATGCAAGTTTGGTCAACATAGGGCTCATAGTTACATGAAATGAGACCTGCACCAAAAACTGCACCAAAAATGTTAACCTGCTCCAAAAACATTAACCTGGTCAT